CATAAAATAACTCACGACACTACTTATGAGACAATTATGATAAAATTTCCTTTGCTTCTACGTCTGTGCGCTGCTACAGTATATCAGTTTAGTATGTTCACTATGTTACATAACTGCCCCCTGCTGGTCTTGTCTTTCTTGTGTTGAATCATTTTGTGCTGTGCCGCGCAGTACTGAAGCATTGGGTGAGGTCACTTTCATTCACTTGCACATTCCCAGTAGCCACATCTGTAACTCTTTATCTCACAGGTACATCATAACATGTCCAGTAGGAGGCAATAATAATAATCAATTATAATGGTAAATCTTGAGACCATGATTTTACATTGCATGGTCATTATATGAAGATGTATACTGAAAAAAAAATATCTTGAGACCACAATACATTATTATATTCCATCAAGTTATTATGTTTTGGTCTTAACATGCTTTAATGTTCCTAAATGGTCACTTTAAATAAACTGAATGTAAGCTGATTTTTTGCTGGTGGTGGAGTTGAAAGAAGTAACATTCATTGTTCTACTGAAATGCGAAGTGTGTGCATCTAACTGCACTGTTTTAGTCCAGAATCAGATTGTGAAAGAGAACTGCTGAGAAGTCTCTCTTGTGCTTATACAGTGACGATTTTATACAAAATCAATGGAATCCATTACTACCAGAGGAGAACGCAAGTACATTTCGTTTATCTCTCCTCTTCTGACAGAGCGAAAGAAATAGAGACAGAATATGAAACCAAACAGGTTAGAAAAGGACAGCTGAACTACAGTACTCGTCCAACAACTAACTAGTCAAACAGAGAAAGATTTAACTGTAAACCCTAATCAAGTTCAATTTAACTGAATAATTTTAAAGGCAAAGAATAAACACTGTTCTTTTCAACTTTCTATTGGTTAAAGAATTCATTCAAAATGTGACTTAGTTTCCAAAAATGTTTAGCAGCTCAACTATTTTCAGGGTGACATGGTGGGTCAGTGGTTAGCACTGTCGCCTTACAGCAAGAAGGTTGCTGGTTTGAGTCCCGGCTGGGCCAGTTGACACTTCTGTGTGGAGTTTGTAGGTTCTCCCTGTGTTTGTTTCATCTTGGTGCTCAGGTTTCCCCAACCTTACAAAGACATGCGCTAAAAGTGAATTGATTAAACTAAATGTGCATAACACATGCTGGAATAGTTGGTGGTTCATTCCACTGTGGCGACCCCTGATAAATAAGGGACTAATATATAGAAAAATTAATGAATGAACTGTTTTCAGTTTTGAGAGCAATAATATTACTTGAGCACCAAATCAGAATGATAAGAATGATGATACTGTATGATCCTGACAATAGGAGAGATGTCTGCTAAAAAAATAGAAGAAAATACATTTTCAAATTTAATAAAACAGCAAACGGTTAAAATAAATTGTATTCATATTTTCATAGTGTTTGCTGTATATTGCTATTTCTTTTTCTGAAGACATAGATAGTCCGCCAACCTGCTAGTTTTGAAAATAAATAGTTTTGCTAAGCAACACAGGGAAACAGCAAGAAAGAAATGAGGGTAAAATAGACAGATCAAATAAAATGTGTGGAAAAACGCTGGAGAAGAAGGAAATGAAAAGGCTTTTGAAATGCTAAGTGATTTCTGGAGTGACTTGTCTCTTCATCTGCCCTGCATTCTTTCCTTCTGCTCATTTGGCAGTGAGCGATCGGCGGCACAGCTCTGTCTGTTTGGTGCCATGTTCATCATATCAGCTCACAGCACGTGTTTCTTGATGATGCACATGATTCATGCGTTGCTCTGATAGCGCACCATCACTCAATACTGTTTCTTGCACGTTTCAGTTGACTGTAAAGGATAAGATACACTATTTTCACCTATTTGTCAACAGATCGTGGGCCGTTAACAAGGCACGTCATGCAGCGATGCTGATGTCCTGCAGTGTGACATGCTATACTAAAACTATGTGAAAAAGCATGTTTCTAATTCATTTATAATCACACAACAGCTCCAGTATCCTACTTTTTACAAAAGAGTAGCTGGAGATTTTATGTCTTGATTTGTTTGGAGGGTTAATTTAAGTGTAAAAAAATCATTGCTGAACACAAAAAAAAAAAAACATATTTTGAATATTGTTGGAATAAAACTCCCAGAGATGGGTTGCGGCTGGAATGGCATCCGCTGCGTAAAAAAAACGTGCTGGAAAAGTTGGTGGTTCATTCTGCTGTGGCAACCCTAGATTAATAAAGGGACTAAGCCGACAAGAAAATGAATGAATGAACATATGAATGAATGAATGAATGAATGAATGAATGAATGAAGGAAATACAACTAACATTCATAGTAGGATGATGTTTGGGTGTAGTGTCTCTTTAAGCAAGAGATAACATGCAAGAATCCAAGCATTGGCATTACTTTTTATGCTGCTCTCTGGAATACTTGATTTGCCAAAAATAACAGATAATATCCCTAATAACAGCTGATAAAACTGTTATTACAGGCTCATCTGGGCAGCTACAGAAATGAGCAAAAAATATTAAAACACAAATCAAAATGTTGCACAGAGTGATTTAATTATGTCATCAGGTTATCGTGGAATCACTTTACTACAAAAGCGGCAGTTGTCAGTGTGTGTCTCTGTATTATTCAAGGAATCATGTACTGACAATACTGCAAAACTGGCAATATTATTTATTCAGGGAAAAATAAAATAAATAAATAAATAAATAAAAGTAGATGGCCGGGTAAAAAATAAAATGGTGAGCAATTTTAGCATCTAATCAATGTAAATGTATACTTACAAGTATAGAAATTAGACCTGCACAATTTTGGCAGAATAGAAAATGGCATATTTTTTTGCTTAAAGTACAGATCACAATTTTTCTCACAATTCTAAAGATGTAAAATAATGGTTAATATCAGTAGGCTATTATTATTGTTATTTCTCAAACATATAGTAAAACAACAATAATATTAGGTGTAGGTCTACTTTTGGGTAAAACTACATTTTAGACTTTGAATGGTGGACTTAAACTTTAAATGTGTCCTGGTCATTAATGCACAGTAAAGTGATGACATCAGAATACAATTATTCATAATTCTGAGGTTAAATTATTATGTTTGAGACATATGCTTGCAATCTGTCATTGACAACATTATTAGATCTTTTTTTCCACTGGTAAAATCAGACATTTGTTGTTATCAGATTCCCTCTTGCATTATATTCAACATTATAGGCTAGAGTAGTTATCCTGACACTGTTAAACATTTATTCTCATGTACAATATTAAATGCTTGTCACAATCATAATTCTAAAATGCGATATGATTATCCAAATAATGTGCACGCTTTCGGTTTCATTTTCACTGCCAAGTGCGGTTCATACTTCTCGCACGGCTCCCAAAGGATTACTCCGTGCCACAAACTGAATGTTATTTACAACTTTATTACCTGTTATTCACAGCCAATGCAGGTTCTGTTCACTAAAGTAGACTTCATCACAGTATACAGTATAGTATGTGACTCTTTCAACACCATTTGGAGGTGCCCACAGTGCTAGGCTACATATATAAAGCAATGTGAAGAGACTTGTGCAGTTACCTTTGCTTTTCTTCTGAACTTGAAAGTATGATTGGCAAAATCATAGAAATGCTGGATTAAGATCGTCTAGGGGTCGAATCGAGATCGGGGTATTTTTTCGATTAAACGTGCAGCTCCTAAATGCAAAATCATAAAAAAATGAAATCTTACCTATGAAATGTTCTGCCTTTATGCTTTTTTTTGTTTGTTTGCTTGTTACTACACTTTTACACAGCACTACAGTCCAGCATCTTTAAATTGGCTTTAGTCTTGACTTGTGCGGTTGAATGACATTTGTCCTGGGAGCACTGTACAAATGTGGCAGCGCTATTGATGCATGCTAACGGTCCATATGCGGTATATATCTATGAGCTGTAAATATTACTTTTGTTAGACAAACTAGGTTTGGGCCGAGCTTCACCTGCTGTGCTTTGGTTTATCATAGTGTAGGTTAGATACTGCATCAGAAACGTGAAGATTTCCTTTTCAACAACTGACATATTTTTTCTTTTTGGATAGTTAAGGTAGAAATTGGGCCAATAGAATAGGTTGTTTTGTTTTATCTATTCCTATTGTTTGGATGCTGCTCACGTCTCATCTCTCAAACTCTCCCATCTACCATTTTGTGTCCTGTTTGCTGCCTGTTATTTTCAATATATTTTCGTAAATATTTATTGTTCTTTATATATATAAATTTTTACACTTATTATGACTATCTTTTGTAAAAAATGAAAAAATAAAAAAAAAACTCAATTTATTGCATTTAGTTAGTCATAGTATTTTGTTCCTCACTCGTTGATATTGTGTGTATGTATTTCATCCAAAATTAATGTTATTCTCTTCCCCCTTAACTGACCATCTTCAAGATTTTTAACTCAGCGGATGCCCTTCCAGACTCAACCCAATAGTGGGAAACCTTCATACACACCCATTCACAAACACACATACACTGCGGCTGATTCAGTTTATTCAATTCACCTGTACCACACGTCGTTGGACTGTGGGGGAAACCAGAGCACCTGGAGGAAACCTATGCAAACACGCGGAGAACATGCAAACTCCACATAGAAATGCAGACTGGCCCAGCTGGGGATTAAAACCAGCAACCTTCTTGCTGTGAGATGACCGTGCTAACCACTGAGCCACCATGCCACCCATATACTATTTTTATTTATTGTTTGTTTGTTTGTTTATTTAGCAAGGGCAATTAAGGCAAAAAAAAAATCACACACTATTTTAATTATTGTGGAAATGCTGATCTTTTAAAGTTTCTATCCTGAAAGAAATGCATATCAGTTTCTATTTTTCAACTTCTTTTAGTAAGAAGAAAAAAGTGTTATTGACAAATGAAGGAGAGCAGGGTGTGATTAGGAGCTAGCTTTTTGTTTGACCACATCTTTGTGTTTGTGAGCAAATGGTTGTGTGCTGTTCTTGTGTGTTTCTCACCATAGTGGCAGTGAAGGGAATGTTGTCTATTAGAGAGGACGCCAGCGCTGAAACCCACAATACCAAAATGATGGCGATGGCCAACCGTTCATCCTCTGGCACTGCCTGGGAGAGAAGATAACAATAAAATATGTCACAAGCGCAAACACACAAACCCTCTCTCACTGTCAGTCTCATAAAGGCCTGTAGATGCCAGCACAAAGGTGGGAGGCTTCGCAGACAATGTGTTCATGACACAGTCATATTGGATTTATTATTTCACGGTCTGTTGCCTTCATAAACCAAAGCACAACACCACACGTGTACACAAACACACATAAACACACACTTTCTCACCATATACCAGTTTGTCTTCTGGTTATATATGTGAAAGTATGAATAGATCTACAAATTATGTGATTTTCAGTTCAGATTTATTGAAAACGTGACCTAATTTTTTATTTTATATATATATATATATTTTTTACAAAGTGTAAAATACATTGCTCTGGGTACATTTTGTTGCACGTTTCAGATGACAAATAACTAGGGGCGCTGTTTCCATTTTTGTGAATCTGAAATTTGTTACATAGGGTATGTATTTTTTGCATGTTTCAGCTAAACATCCTTCTGGTACACTTCCATGAGAAAGCGGGGATTGTAATCAAGATCACCAAGACCACTGAACCACATGATTTTAATTTGTTTTGTTCTCTTTTGTGCTTCACCAATCTTGAACCTGAAATAAGCTGACTAAAGATAGTTGTTTATATGGAGATATACTGTAGAAATTTGTCGATATGCATATAAACATGTGTGGCAACATTATACAATTACAAAATCATAGACATTGCATTTATTTACTATTTTGTACTGCACAAAAACAATCCTTTTGTTTGCATATAATATGTCCCTGTAAACATAACTACTGTCATTTTTATTATGTAATTCATTTTTATTTTACCTAAAACCTTTTTCATTTTCATTTTACAAAGACAGTTTTTGCTGTTACACAAAAAAGTAGGTTGTATTTCCAATGAGCCTGTGTTGCATAACTAACAGACATAATGCATCTCAGTTTCCATAAATTCATACTATTTTTAACTTTGGTATTGTAATATTAACAAAGTAACAAAACCAAATGATAATAATAACATAAAATTACCTGCCTTCTTGAGGCTTATCAAAAGCTATTTTCAATAACTATGATTTGGGCTAGGGAGTTATCTGAGAAAGAGAGTTTTTAGTCTTCAAATCCCTGCCATTTTCAGGACATTTTGAATAGAATAAACAGTGTGAACCTGCTTAAAAGAAATGTTCAATACAAGTTCAACTACTACTAATTTTAAAAACAAAGACTTGACATCTGTGCTTATAGAATTAAATTAAAGGTCTATAAGATAAGGCACGAGAAATAATACAGCATACACTGTCACTAAATTGCTCACAATCTTTTTTGAGCCATGTACAGTTTGTTCAATCTTCCAGCTTTTATAAACATAAATAAATAGGAAATAGGAAGAGATGCTGTGTAGTTGTGCTATTCAAAGTCCCATTCAAATTATCATTTCCACAAACGTATTATTAAAAAAACACACTGTCAACCATATTGACCAAGAGACAGTTTGGGAAAACATATTTTGTTCTTTAAAAAATCCAAATTACCAGATACATAACACATTTTAAATTCTGACACAGATTGAACTGGAGACCAAATAATCATTTTCTCTGTAAATTATCTTCAGGTCGAAATTGCAGTTTTTTTCTCACCAACAAGTTAGAATTTTTATATATGGTGCGGGAATGTAAGAAGTTGTGTGAGTTGTGGGAAAAACTTTCATCAATAATATCTGAAATTATAGGAAAATAAATACTATTGCAACCAGTTGTGCTACTTTTAATTGATGATTCTAGTTTGGTTTTGACGAAGTGACAAAGAAAGGTCTGGTTGGCAGGACTAACATCTGTTAAAAAGATAATTGCGCAAAGATGGCTCCCTTCACATTCTTTATTTATTCAGCAGTGGCTATTGCAGTTTTATGATATAGCATTGTTAGAACTTTCAACAGCCAGATTAAAGCTAGAGCCTCAACTCTTGATGCGTACAAAAAGGCTGCAAACTAGCAGAAAGACTCATGGATAATACAAATTAATGTGCTACAACCTGAATCCTTAAATCTCTGATAATTTGTGTGAATTTCTAGTTACTTTATTTAATTTACTATCATGTGTGTGTGTGGGCGCGTGTAATAGTCCATAAGTCAATAAACCATTTGTAATAGTTTTAATAACTCTTTCTAATAACTAATTTATATGAGCTTTGTGATGATGACATAATTTTTTACTAGATATTTTTCAAGACACTTCTATACAGCTTAAAGTGATATTTAAAGCATTTAAACCTTACATGTAAACCCTAACTGGGTTAATTAGGTTAACTAGGCAGGTTAGGGTAATTAGGCAAGTTATTGTATAAAGATGGTTTGTTCGGTAGACAATCAAAAAATATATAAGCTTAAAGGGGCTTAAAATGATTTTTGACCTTAAAATGTTTTTTTTTTTATTATTATTATTTATTTAAAACTGTTTTTATTTTAGACAAAATAAAACAAATAAGACCTTCTCCAGAAGAAAAAAAATATTATCAGACATACTGTGAAAATGTCCTTGCTCTGTTAAACATAATTTAGGAAATATTTAAAAAAGAAAAGCTATTCAAAGGTGGGCTGATAATACTGACTTGTATTTGTACATGCATGTGTATGTATGTATGTATGTGTGTGTGCACACTTATGTATATTCATATGTATGGGTATGTGTGTATTATTTTCTATGATACTTTAGACTGTAAATATAGCCTTTATTTAATATGTTTGTGTTTCAGATATGTGTATCTTTTGTTTATATGTTTTCTGTTGGTTATTTGTCTTGATTGCAATGCTATTTGTGGGATCGCATGGCCTTTGGCACCACTGCGGGGTAGGGTTTGTTTTTTTTGGGTTGGCTGTGGGTGTTGAGGAGTGGATCTAAATTTTAAAGATGCTGTGACCACTCACATGTAAAATCCATAAAAAAAATATCACAAAAAATAATATGGAAAATTTCAGAATATGATTTCTGAAGGGTCATGTGACATTGAAAAACTGCAGTGATGACTGCTAAAAAATTCAGCTTTGCCATTAAAGTAGAACAGAAAACCATTTGTTGAATTAATAATTGACTATATTTTTACTATTGTTCTTATTAAAGGAACACAGACAGGTAAATTCTGGAAGAGTTTTTTTTTAAACATAACAAACACAGACATCTGAATGGTTGTAAAGTTCTGTGAAGTTAAAGAAATAACCTTTAATTAATACACGATGTTGGATTGGATTTGTTATTTAACCAAAACAAAATCACAATACACTTAACACACACACATCTTCTTTTAATGTACACTGTTTAGGATTTTTTGAAAATTACACAGTATTTAACTGTAATATGAACTTTATTTTGCTGTAGGACAGTTATGTAGTATGGTACTGAATTTTAAAGTTGCATTGTAAATTGTACTGTATTTTCCAGTAAAGATATATATATTTCTGTAAATATATATATATACAGGCAGATTAATTGTGCTGTAAATGTAAATTGTGTTTTTACTGTAACTGATTTAAAGTAAATTACTGGCAAACTGCTGCCAATAAGCTACTGTAGAATCTACAGCATAATGTTAAGCGTGTATGTGCGAACACAACATAGATTTTTATAAGCATCTATGAAGGATGTGGTTTTATTTCCGGCGACTCCCTGCTGTTTCTATATGTATGGTCATATTTTTGGGGGTCTGGTGCTGGTGATTGGACTGAATGCATCAGGGCTCCACAGCAGCACCTGTCATGAATAATTACTGTGATTGTTTAAGGCTCACACACCAAACGCAAGCTGACGGGTCTATCAGAGTGTGATCGCCAGCCAGGCAGAGCTGGACTCTTCCAGGCCTGTGGAAATCTCTGTATTTACGGCCCACACAGCTCCACTATTGGATCAAAGATAACAATCATTTCAGCCAGCCAAACAATTTAATGAGGCTCGTTTGGCTCATTGTTAATGTATGGAAATAAATGCTTCTTTTCAGTGCCCGGTTCTAGGAGCATGCATGCTTCCCATAAGGATTATCATTTTATTGGTTTTAGAGTTATAAGTCATTTACTAAACCAGCCGGCAAACAAGGTGAATCACAACACTATAAACTTTAGTTTGAAGCAAAAATGAATAACACTTTGTGCCCTAATATGCATTTATTTATGCCTAACTAATGCACAGATGATCACTAGCTAACAAATGACTCATGAAAAAAATAAACCATACTGCATCAGCCACTATTAAGGGTCTATAGCAAGAGTTCTCAATGTCTACATTAAAAGGTCCAAATCTGAATTTTTATTAAGGTCAAAGGTCCAGAACAATTGAGTTTACAAATCTTGTTTTGAATAAACATTCATAACATGCACCACAAGTCAACACTATTTAATTTTATTTTTAAAAAAGTGGCATTTGCATTTCAAACACATTAAATACAATGTAAATGTGGCAAAACTATTAATATAAGTGCATTTTTGTACAAAACACAACAAAAGGTATATAATATCGGGATGCAGCTATGACGATGCAAGCTGAGGTTGCATATCTCAGAGATGCAATGTAAGACCCAATGCACTCAATTGAGCTAGTGATGTCACTGTGAAGGGTTAAGGGTGAGGTTATGTGTGGGCATTAAAAAGCAGCTCAGCTTTTGATTGCCACTGCACCAGGTCTGCACCCAGACCCCTCTTCAAAAAAGGTGAAAAATACAAAAGGTATGTAATGAAAACTTTAGGGTCTTGTAGTTTTGCGGTCCTGTATTTTGTGCATACTGCAGTTCAAAATGAAACGTGTTTCATTTTATAGTGCTGTCTCACATTTCTACTCTTTCCAATTTCAAATGTCTCATTACAAATCAAGCAGAATGGCTTAGTGCTGGCTTGTGGCAAAATAAGCGCATACTTATCTCTCTATTCAACTTTGAACTGTTGATTCTCTTCATTAAGCTTTTTTTTTTCGTGAGACCGACATCTTCATCCATTCAAATAAATGCTAAGCAGCTGTGTGGTAAAGCAGGTGTGCGCGATTAGCCCGCTCAATCGCATAAAGCCTCGTAAGATCAATGGAGGTCATGATAACAGAGTCACGCAGAAAAACTTTGAATATTTCGCCTTCGATTTTATTTCCGCCCATATTTTATTTATTTATTTTTTACAAAAAAAACAAACAACTAAACAGCTGATTTACAAGGTTTATGTCTTTATCAATGAAGGAAAAATGCACAATTTGAATATTCTGGACAATAAGAAGCCATGTTCTATTGTAATTAGTACTAATTTATATACATATATACTGTATATTTTAGGTTAAGTTAATATATGAACTGCTATTAATTAAATGCGTCATCATGAAACTTGTACATTTTTACATTAACTTATACATTAACTTGATGAATTTATAAATTAGGTTATTTACCTCGGTAATACAAAGCTATGCATTGTAGCCCTCCAGTTGTTTGCTTTAATTACTCCTTTGACAATGATTTGCAAAGACCTCATCGTGTTAACACTTACTGAAGCACATTTGACTTCTTTTACTTGTTATAGATACATAGAAGTCAGACGACAATCATTTTAGATGATAAAATTATAAGAATCATTATATTCTATTACCAAAATTACGTAGATGAAAATAATTACCAACACTTTACTTAAGAACAAATTTCTTTACTTGGTACCAATTTCCACTAGCCAATTAACTACTGGCTAATTATCTGCATATTAATAAGATGTTGGCTGTTTATTAGTACATATTAAGTATTTTCTTATTCTACATCCCTAATCTTACCTAATACCTAAACCAACTACTATACCCACGGTCCCACTAGAGTTTGAGCATGCAAAATTCTGTCATGCAACGCTGCGAAAAGGGGCAGGATTAAACAAGATGAGTAGACATAAAAAAACAAGTGATTGCTCCATATTCTACATTTTTGTACAGAGAGGATATGTTTTGATCCTCTATTGGTCTTACGCAATCATGCGATGCAATTTTGCTGGTCAGAGTTCACCTTGCTTGAACTTTGCACCGCAGCTTATCTTACTAACTGTTAATTAGCAGCAAGTGAGTAGCTTAATTGTGCTTTTTGATTTTTTTATTAATAAAATGTTTATTGAAAATCACAAAAACAGTGTAACCAAATATTTTTAATACTGCAAACATGCAACCAACCATGTGATCATTATATAAACAGAAACACAGCTAATGCTACATCGTAACATTGCACTTCACATTACTATTGTGTGTTTGCATTATAATCAATGGCATGATTTAGATGTTTTGTGCTGATTTGTTTACCTTCTGCAGTGACTCAAAACAACAGTAAATGAATAGTGAACTTCCCCTTAAAGTCAGTACAAAGTCAATACTCACTTTTATCAACACTGCAGTCTGCTCCCCAATGTAGTCGATGAGCTGCAGCTGAGCGAGAGCCTTTAAAACACACCAAAGAGAACAATCAAGCCATTGACCAAAAAACAAAAACAGACATTTACCCTGACAGCTCTGATTTTCAATCCTTTAAACTTTTAAATATCAAAATTCATGAAGTATATATATTTTTTATATCTGGGTGCTTGCGTTGAACCCTGCTTTGAGTGATTGTGAATGCTGGCTCTGCTATAGAGGGCAAACAGTTTATCTTGGAGCAGCGTTAAGCTCCCCACTGGGCCCAAAGGGTGGGCTTCCCTGTGTGAATACTGTCCAGCGAACAAAACAAAGGATTAAACCTACACAAACAGCAAACCCAGCATTTCTGCTGCTGACGAGCTCACTTTCCTCTTACTTAGACTTCCAATCTAATCTCTAAGTCGCTCCCTTTCTCTTTCTTCACTTATAAATAGGATAGATTAAAAAATAAACATAACATTAGAATATTTTATAATAAGAAGTTAAACTTTTTTATCTTTCATGACAATGCACTTTAAATATTCAAGTCTAAAGCAATGCATGTTTTTCCTCTTTCATTCTTAAGTTATAAGGCTTTTTTTATTAATTGTATACAAATATAATTATTTTAAAAGTATATTACTATTAGTTATAAATAGTAACACATTTTGAGTTGATACAAATACATATATTGCAAGTATCTATTATATATGTATTAATAAATGAAAAAAATATATATATAATTTTTGCATTTACTAATCCATTTATTTTACATATACATCTCATTACTGATTCAAAACAGCACGTTGGACACAAAAAAAGTTTTTTTTTTTATTTTGCTGATCAAATCAACATGGAGCAGTTGTTCCTTTCAGCTTGGTAAACAATGACCAGACGTCACTGTAATGTATCACATGCCAGAACACTGGGCTACAGTATGTGGGCGTTTGTGTTTTCAGGCATGTCTGAGTCGTGAGCATTACCATACCTCCATGAGCACAAACAGAGCAGCGAAGAACAACAGCGTGGCCCATTCTACTCTATGAAGAATGATCTCAAAGTCCTGAATGTCAGCAAGCACCAGTAACCACAGAGCCCCCAAGATAGCGATCCAACCTGAGGAGCAAAACATCAAGAAATGAAATGAGAACACTGACTACACAAACCCAATCTTATTTCCTGCTGATGGAAATGAGTCATGCAGGTTATTAAATCAATGAATCAATCGATTCAAAATCAATTAAAACAAATTTGTCAGAGGGTGTACAAAATAAGTTATATTCCAATGAAATGCATTATTTATTTAAACAGAGTTTTCTCTAAACATGTTAGTATTTTTAAGAATGCATATTTAAATAAAACATGTCTTAAAATCTCCAGCCCTTTTGCTTCTCATGTAAATGTTTCTTGATTTAAAAAGTTTGTTCATTTGTTCGTTCATTTGTTTACTTGTTGTTGATTTATTTATAATTTATTTAACAGTGGCTGTTGTTGTAAATGAGTAATGCAAGTAAACAAAGGAATGAACAAAGGAGCAAAGAAACGGACAAACAAATGAATGAATCAATAAAACAATAAACAAACAAATCAATCAATCAAATGAATAAACAAATAAGCAAACAAATGAACAAATCAATCCATCAATCAATTAAATTAATGAACAAATGAACAATTTAATAAACCAATCAATCAAATATCAATCAATCAATTAATCAATCAAGCAATCAAATGAATGAACAAATAAGCAAACACGTGAACAAATCAATCCATCAATCAATTAAATGAATGAACAAATGAACAAATCAATAAACCAATAAACCAATTAATCAATCATCAATCCAACAATCAATCAATCAAATGATCGAACAAATGAACAAATCAATAAACCAATCAATCAATCATCAATCAAATAATTAATCAATCAAATGAATGAACAAATGAACAAATAAATAAATCAATCAATCAATCAAATGAACAAATGAGCAAACAAATAAACAAATCAATCAATCAATCAAATAAACGAACAAATAAACAAATCAATCAATTAATCAATCAAATAAACGAACAAATGAACAAATCAATCAATCAATAAAAAGAACAATTCAATCAACCAATCAAATAAATGAATAAATGAGCAAAGAAATGAACAAAATTAATCAATCAATCTAATGAACGAACAAATGAGCAAACAGATAAATGAATCAATCAATAAATCAAACAAAAACAAATGAGCAAACAAATTAACAAATTAGTATATTAATCAATCAGGAGACGCAGAGGCGCAGTATAAAGTGCTGCCACCTTACAGAAAGAAGGTTGCTGGTTCCAGCCTCGGCTGGGTCAGTTGTCGTTTTTATGTGGAGTTTGCATGTTATCCCTGCCTTTGCGTGGGTTTCCTCCGGATGCTAAGGTTTCCCCCACAGTCCAAAGACATGCAGTACAGGTGAATTGGGTAGGCTAAATTGTCTGTAGTGTATGAGAGTAAATGGATGTTTCCCAGAGATGGGTCGCGGCTGGAAGGGCATCCGCTGCATAAAACGTGCTGGATAAGTTGGTGGTTCATTCCGCTGTGGCGACCCCAGATTAATAAAGGGACTTAGCCGAAAAGAAAATTAATGAATAAATAATAATCAATCAATTGAACAAACAAATTAATTAATGGATCAATTAATCAAGTGAGCAAACAAATGGACAAACCAATTAATCAAATGAACAATTAAATAAACAAACAAATGAATTAATAAACCAATCAATCAAATGAACAAACAAATAACCAAACAAATAAACCAATCAATCAATCAATAAATTAATCAATAAAATTAACAGACAAATGAACAAATTAATAAATCCATAAATCAAATGAACAAACAAATCAATCAATCAAAACAAATCTGCCAGGATTGTATGTAAGGTTAATGTTTCTTGGGTCAGATTTTGTTATTATGGAAACCAAGACAAAAACACTGAGCACAAAAACACTTTTAAACTCATTTATGTATCTGCTGGTTTGCTTATTATTGATTTTTTTTCCAAACACAATCTTATCCTGTTGTTGCACTTAAAATGTTTTAAAGATAATAGAATCCTGAAAAAAAAAAAAAAAAACTAAAACAGCCAACGGTGGATAATGCAATGCATCAATCATATGTTACATCTCTATCAGTCATGCTTTCCCCTAACACAGTTTCATCAGGCGATCAACAGCCTTCATGAATCGGCTATTCCAGTCACACAACTCCTCAGTCGACGGGAGAGATCCCAACCAGCGGCATTCAATTAGTAACACGGTCCAGCAAGCCCACAAACAGCCTCATAAATGCGCTGCACATCGATACACTCACACCACAGGTAGACTGAGACGCCACGGTGCAAGACAGGGTTGTCAGGGTATAAGAATAATAGGCCAGTTACTGGATAGTCTTCATTAAATGCTTCTGTGATGTGGCTGATAGCGATCTAAGTACCTCAGTCTAAATAAATGATGGCATCACAAGTACAACAGAGATAACAGAACATAAAAGTGGCAGTTTCCCAGAGAGAGTAGAGCGTGTTAATTAATTCTGCATGCTGTTTTTATTTTTAGAGCATTCAGTTGCATAATGAAAAATACAATAGTTTAGAAGTTTAAAGTTATTTATTTATTTATTTATTTATTTATTTATACTTTTATATTATTTATTTATTTATTTATTTGCTTTTGATTGTTTAACAAGACTGCACTTATTTAATAGAAATTAAAATGAATTACTCTTTTCAATCATTATGTTGTTTAAAATGTAATTGTTTTGTGTGATGGCAAACCAATCATGCTAATAAAAACAATTCAAATTATTGTTGTTGAAAAAGGTTATGCTTGTTTACATTTGTGTGGAAAGTGTTATACTTTTTTAAGATTGACTGGGAAAAAGAAAAAAAAAAGCTTTTTATATTTTTTGAATATTTTATGTTATTAAAGTAGAATCTTTACAATTTCTTAGAAGACATTTACAAATCATTTTACATTTAGGTGAATTGTTGGGGAAATTTTGCATGAGTTGTTTAGATGCATGTGCATGTGTGTGTGAGTGCATGTGTGTATAATAATGCTTCATTTTTTAAATAATTGTAAAGATTTTTTTACCAAGAATATAAAGTTCTTAACAGCAATCTTTTAGCAATTTCAAGTGTCAGAAAATTAATTAAGAATAAATATTTCTGGATTAGCTTTCATACACTACAAATAAATGTAGTCATAGGCAGTGCTGAGGCTAACATGTTACAAGTAACGTAAGTTACATAATATTACTTTTTTAAGTAACAAGTAAAACATTACTTTAAAAAAATAACTAATAATGTGACGCAAGCCCTCTTATAGTTTCATTAATTTGATAAAAAAAAAAAAAAAAATCTTCCTAGGTATGGGTTGCGGGTGAAATCTGGCATCTGCTGCGTAAAAACTTGCTGGATAAGTTGGCGGTTCATTCTGCTGTGGCGACCCCGGATTAATAAAGGGACTAAGCTGACAAGAAAATGAATGAATGAATGAAAATAATTTTTTGCTGAAATACAATTAGTCACAATGAATTATGCAGTCAATGAGAGAATATGTTCATTATTTTGATTGCATTGCATAAAAAGAAAAGAGGATTGTCTTAATGGACAGTGATTTAACCTAATAAAATAATAAAAACGTATTAAAACAAATAATAAAAAGTAGCAAACACATTGTTTTAAACGTTCAATAATCTGAATATACAGTACAGCATGTAGCTCTGGGGTCAGGAAGTTTTCAGATAACATGATCCTAATTTTTTTTTTATGTGTTTTTTTAAAGGTAATTGTACGGGAACTGTACGTTATACAGTGTGTTGTAAATTGTAGAGATCCTCTATTAGAAAAGAAAAAAAAAACAAGCTCTATAAGAGATCAAACCTTTGCCAGGTAATAAAAAGTAAAACAAAAGTAAGCAACAAAACTAATTGCTTTTTGGGGAGTAACTCAATATTGTAATGCAATATTTTCAAATGCAACTTTCCCCAACACTGCTCATAGGTAGAACATTTTGTAGCACATACTTTAAACCACTCATGTTTTTATTTTTTGTCTCAAAAATCTTTATAGCACACATGTTAAATAGAGGCTAAGAACATTAGCTGATTTAAACATTGTACACTGCATCTAAAGAACATTGCCAAACATTTTACTACTGATTAGCTGATGTACCATTTCTCAGAAGCCCGAATAAAAACACACTGTGTGTCAGAAACAAAATGTACAAGTGACTAAATCGAGAAGAAAAATTCGACAGGACATGGTTATTTGCCGGAGATAGAAGTCCATCATAATGAGTGTGCCATTTAAACATCAAGGCCGTGCACAAGTAATGCGTCACATGTCAGCCTTTGACCTTTACTATAATAGCCACAGAAAAATAGGCTTTATTCTGGACCTGTGTATTATAATCAAATGCCTGACGTGTGAGAAAAAATGACTGACCGCAAATGTTACAACAAACGGAAGCCATTAGCACAGTTAATGAATGCTTACACACTGAGAGAAAGATTTACAAGCAGGAAGATCAGAGTTTGAAACATATTAAAATGCAGTAGATTATTTTCTGAAGGTTGCATTTTACCCCAGCAAGCGTTAATGGAACATTGATTGTACAATTTCATCCTGATAAAATAGTTCCTGGAAATAAAACCCTGTAATATATTGTTTGTCATCATAGCAACAAATAAATTAAAAAATAAAGACGTGAAAGTGTCCATTTAATTTGCTATTTTGCTTTTATTTGTTTGTTTGTTTGTTTGTTTGTTTGCTCTATATTTATCATTCTATTTCTATTTGGGTAGAGGAAGAGTTAATGTTTGTTTTATGTATGAGTGTTTGGAAACCAGAAAGACATAGTAAGGACTCACATACTGTAGTAAGGTGTTTGGACAATGGTTACATGCAACCCAAAAACATCCCTATCAAAGCTCTGTTGTCAAAATATCTTTTTTATGAGACAATAACAAAGGGCTGTATCTGAAGTGTTCCGTCATGAACACATAAAGGTGGCTCAATAAAAGTTTCACAATGCAAAGAAGATCACAATCTACAACTGTGCACATACACTAGCAATTGCAAACAAA